GTGTGCACAAACTCCAAAGTTCGTGATGCTCTCCACCTGACTTCTCTTGAGAATCTTAATCTGTGATGTTTGCCAAGAATACACCCTTCACCATTTTCTTTCTAGATAAAAGCTTCAACCCACCAAAATTAAGATGTTCAAGTCTCAAGTGCCACAACCAAGAATCATCTTTAATAATAACATTCAAACATGTCATAGCATCATGTTGAATATTCAAAGGAACCATTCTATTCGTATACATTTTCGCATTAGCAATCAAATTACCACGAGCATCTTTAATTGTAAGATAAATATTCTTCACACTAATATCATAACCCTTTTTTAAAAGTTGCCCCAAACTCAAAATACTATTCTTCATATCCGGCACATAATAGACATCGGAAATAAAATCATGATTGTCATTCTTGAGCTTAATAAGAATTTTACCTTTGCCTTTCACCGGAATGTTGGAGGAGTCGCCAAAAGTAACTTTGTCTTGCGTCACTTCATCAAGTTCTACAAACATATGCTTCTTGCCACACATATGGTTACTTGCCCCGAAATCAAGAAACCATATGTTGACATTATCTTCCTTAGATCTATCGTAGGCTAACAACAAAGTAGATCTCGCTTCATTACTTTTTTTCTTGGCATAATTCACATGGTCTTCTACACCTTTATTTGCACTTGCCCAACATTTATTGCTATAATGTCAAAGCTTGTGACAATTGAAGCATTCAACATTCCTCTTGTCAAAACTTTGATTGTTGTAATTACCACTTGCTCTTCCTTGTCCTCTAACTCTTAAACCGTAAGAATTTTGATTTCTTGCATCATTAGTGAATTGACCTCTTCTTCCTCTACCTCTATTAGCATAGCCTTTTTCACAACCTTTGTAGCCTCTTCCGCGATTACCATAACATCTACCTTGTGTTCCATTACCTCTTTCTTTTTGAGATGTACTACCTTGAAATTCTCTTTTTTCATTTTTCAAATAAAGCTTGGATTGGAGAGCTTGTTCAAGAGAATTTGAAGTCTTTTTATTATTACATTGCTCATGTATTTTCAATGTTGTCATCAATTCATCAACGCTCGTAGTCTTCAAATCCATGGATTGCTCAACGGCTACAACAACATGCCAAATTTTGGGGTTAAAGTTCGTAGTATTTTTTTCAAAACTCGAACATCATCAATATGTTCTCCATACCTTCATATTTGATTTACAATCACCAAAATTCTTGAAAAATACTCCGAAATTGACTCGGCTCCATTCATATGCAACCCTTCAAATTCATTTTGCGATATTTGAAAACGAACCCGAATTATTTTATCAATGCCTCTGTGCATATTCTTCAAAGTTTTTCAAGCTTGCTTCAAGGTAGTGGCGGAAGAAATCTTCTCAAAAGTTTTATCGTCAATACATTGGTAAAGTAGGAATAAAGCTTTCTTATCCATCTTCCTTGATTGCTTAAGCACCATATTTCGAGTATCATTAAGTGTTTGCTCTTCCTTCATAGTCAACTCGATGCAACCTTTTTCAACAATTTTTCCAAGATCTTGTGATTGTAACAACAACTTAATTTGAATACTCCAATTCTCATAATTATCGTTTCCTAATTTGAGAAATTGGGGTTGAAAAACATTACTCATAGTAGCCATAACAAACCCTTGGTTCAACAAAAAATTCCAAATTTCATAACCAAGCTCTGATACCAACTTTGTTGGGAATTAACAGGAAAATAGATCACCAAAGATAAACAAAATCAAGTAAAAACAAAGACAAAAAATTTGCTACATTATCACACAAATTTCACTCGAGGAACACCCCTATATTTCATGAAGAATAATCACAATATCAAGTAATACAAAGAAGATAACTTATCTAAAATTTTTCAAGCAAAACACCCAAGAAATACAAAGGAATGGGAATGGAGCTTCTGCTCATGTATCCTGTTGGTTTTTCTTTCCAGCAAAATACAATTTTTTTTCTTTGATTTTCTCTCTATTTTTTTGAAAAAAAAAACCCACTGTTTTGGCAACAAACACATTGCTCTTCATATGCCTCTATTTTCCAACTGAAAGTCCTTGAATCTGGCCACTCCATGGCCAGCCACTTCCATGCATGAAACCAACGTTTGTCTATTCAGCTTTCCACGTAGCAGTGCATGAACTCATCCCCTAAAGATATGAACAGACTTCTGGACTCTTCTACTACCTCTTCAAATGCACAAAAGATATGCCTAAATACCATCTAACACCTTAACTTTTTAATATTACATCATAAACCCAAACTCCACAAAATATAGCATGACACTCCGTTGAATTTGCAGCCACATACTCCGCTTCACGTGTAGACAAAGTAACAATTGCTTGCTTCTTAGATGACCAAGTAAAAATTGTATCTCCGATGAAAAAACAATAACCCGAGATATTTTTCATTTCATTCAAGTCTCGTCCCCAATCACTATTCAAATATCCAACAAGTCTAAAATCATTAGTGCAAGAATAAAATAAGTCATTATTGAGTGTATCTCTAATATAACGTAAAATCTTCTTCGCCACAGTAAGATGAGTTTGATACCTTTAAGTGGTTGTTAGCTAAATTTTTCTCTTACCTTAAATTGGTACCTATGAAGACACCCGATGTTCACATGAGTTCTTGATCCACAACACGTGTTTAGGTATGTATTGTTTGTTTGTTTTTTTTTTTTTTGTCTTAGTTGGTGAAGTAGAAATGGATTTATCTTCAAAAAAGAAAAAAATTTGATTGATTTCGGGTTTGATTAGATCATTCGATGATCCATGTTTTCAATATGGATTCGAGTAATTTTTCTTTGCAAGGATCCTGAGAATTGTGCAGTGTTCATATGATATAAGGTAATTTCTGTGTGCTTTGTGTTCTTCTCAATTAAGCCCAAAGGACTATGATTTGCTTTGTCCATGATAAGTTGCCTCCCTCGGCCATGCACGAGCTTCCAACAGTGATGAGTCCCATTTTTGTTTTAGTGTCGCATATCTCAAGTCTCAGACTTTAAGTTTCTTGCCGCCTCTGTCATGGTAAGCAATCTTGATTTCGTGCCTTACTTTGACATGTCAAGGTTAGGTTAGGGGTGTGAGTAATGTTACGTGAATTTAAAAATTAAATTTGATAATCACAATTATTGAATAAGTAGTGAATTTCAATAAATACTAGGACCCACAATAAAATTAATAGTTATAATTATTAAATCTAATTTTTAAATTCACGTCAAGTCCATCATGCAATCAAGTGCTTTTAGAGCCATCTTGCACATCGAGAATCCTTGGCCGAGCATACCCCCACCTTGATTTCGACATGGTGTGCCATCAAGTAAGTCACCAGCATGCCTTAATCATATCAACAAGTTAAGGGTCTAAGTCTAACACTAGACCACTTCCATTATTTGGAGGGGACAAATCTTTATTCTTGTTGTCCGTTTAGACTTGAAAGTTCTCTTAGAGCACACTAATTACCTCCTACAATTGGAAAGAGTTTGTTAACTAACATTTTGTCCCTAATTTTTGGATCTATTCCTTCTTTTAAATAAATCAAGCTACAACTTGTCTATATAAAACACATGATGAATAATTTTTTTTTTATATACCTAATATTTTATGTTTTGTTTATTTGTTCAACTCAATTAAACAAAATTTATCCTAATATTTTTTAAGATTGATTATATCAATCTAATTTTGTCTTTATAAGCTATATTAAAAATCATACTTTCAATTAAATCATAAATAATACATTAATTTTAAATCATAAATATTATATTTGTTATCATTTTATTGTAGAGCGAACAATACTTTGTAAGTTAACATATTCGGGAGGTCAAACTTCTTATATTGCACAATCAATCAAATAAAAAAAATAATAATGCAATTGAAAACTAAATGCCTATTTTATTTTTGGGAGAGCTATGCCCGGACACCATAAGATTTGTCTCTTAATAATTCAGACTTTTTGACATTTGAAATATTATATACAAACTCTCAGAGATTTGTACGCGCGTAACACTTAAACTCATACCATCAATGTCTGTTAATAAATTACACTCAAATTCTCTGAAATTTGTAGGCATATAACACTTAAATTCCAAATTTAAAATGTTATACCTAAACAAAAAAAATACTCCAATCAAAAAATTAAATATCAAATATTTTAAATTTTATAACCAAAATTCATGTTCTATTCTATTATTTATTGAAAAAAAATCAAAAATCAAAATCAAAATTTTTTCTTAAAAAATGGTAATTAGTATACAATTATATTATCTATGAGAATAAAACTAAAAAAATTAAATAAGAGATCTAAGTCATTCATAATAGAACATAAATTGTACAACTAAAATTCATGTTCTATTCTATCATTTATTAAAATAAAATTAAAAGCAAAAAATTATTTTTTTTCTTAAAAAATCATAATTAATATACAATTATACTATCTATTGAAATAAAATTAAAAAATAAAATAAAGAATTCAACTGCAATAGATACAATATCTTCTACTTTTAATTGAGATAATTTGAAAGTTTAATTTGGTCGTTTAAACGATCAAATAAAATTCCAAAAGTATAATTGTATATCAATTATGAATTTTTAAGAAAAAAATTAGATTTTTATTTTTGATTTTATTTCAATAAATATTATAATAGAATATAAATTTTGATCGTAAAAATTAAAATATTTGATATTCTATATTTTATTGAAATATTTTTGATATAAATATAACATTTTAAACTTGAGAAGTTTGAATATTAAATAAATATAAACTTCATAAGATTTGAGTGTAATTTACTAAATGAATATTGAGCATCGGGAACCTAAGTATACGGGGTACAAACTTTAAAATCTGCTTATAATATTTTAAATATTAAAGAATTTAATTTTGATAAATCATAATCAGAGTAAGTGTAATTCTTTTCTTATTTTTTTGACAAATTATTTATACGTTATTTTAATCTTAATCTTCCACCAGTTTCGCTGGACGAAAAAGGTGCAAGAGGTGCCTTGCCACGTGCCACGTGCTACGTGCATCACAACTGACAAAAAACACAAAAGGAAGATAACATAATAAAATCCAACAAAGTCATACTATTCATCTTTATTAAACATAACCCTAAAACTTTGTCGAGAGCAACGATTCCGTATATGCTCACGTAACATAATCCGGTGCCCCTAGTACATCGCAACCACGATTTCAACACTTATCAGTCTTCTTGTTAGTCATCATCTCCTTGAACTCCTCAAAGTTGACGTTCCCATCATCGTCGGAATCAACGGACGCGATCATTCTGGCACAGTCTTCGACGGAGCAGATCTCGCCCAACCTAGTTAGAACCTGGTGCAACTCAGCCGCAGAGATCTTCCCATTCTTGTCCTGGTCGTAGAGTTCGAAGGCGTCCCGGAGTTCCTTGATCCCTCCTTCGTCGTTGTCTCTCCGGCAGAAGTCGGCGAACTCGTCGAGATTGATGAACCCGTCCTTGTCAGTGTCGATGTCGGACATCATTCGAGAGAGTTCGTCAGCGGAGATGTCGGATCCGAGGGTTTTCATGACGTCGGAGAGCTCCGTCGCCGAGATCTTGCCGTCTCCGTTGGCGTCGAAGCGGTTGAAGACTCGCTTGACCTCGTCGATGTCTTGGAGACACATCGTGGTTTTGGCGGTGTCGGTAGGGTTTGTGGGAGTAGTTGCCATTGATTTGTTCCGGTTTGGATTTCCTGTGTTTTAGAGAGAAGGTAGAAAGATAAACTAACAGATTAGAAAGAGACGCGGATCATGACCAAAAAAAAAAAAAGAAGGGAAAATTTCAATTACACCCTCTCTAATTTATAATATCTTTAAGAACAGCCTCTCTATTTTTTGAATCTTTGCTAACAGCCCTATCAGATTAAAAATATTAGCTAGAATGTAATTTTATTAAATTGCCTATCATGTATTTGAAGACAAACTTCATTCACACCCTCTCTATATAAGTATATCTTCAATGAAATCTCCTCTATTTTTTTTAGTATTAAAATTTGATTCAAGCTAATTAAAATTTATTTTTTTACTTATTAAAATTTAACCCAATTAAAAATTATATTTTTATTAAAATTTAGGCTAATTAATATTATATTTGAACCGATTAAAAATTATTTTTCATTGATTCAAATAAAATTTTAATCAACTCGCATTAAATTTTGATTAGCCAAAATTTTAATACATAGTAAATTTTAATTAACTCAAATTTTAATAAATCGAATTTTAATTGGCACGAATTTTAATAAATAAAAAAATATAAATTTTAATCGATTCGAAAGTGAATTTTAATCAGCGCTAACAACTCGGGTAGAATTTTAATCTGCTCAAATTTTAATACGTAAAAAATAAATTTTAATAGGCTAGAATCTTAATACGTTAAAAAAATAAAATTTAATCAGCTTCAATCGAATTTTAATTGATTCAAATTTTAATATATAAAAAAATAAATTTCAATCGATTCGAATTTTAATAAAATTTTATGTAGAGAAATTACTTGAGGTTTATGTAGGGGCATTTTTAGTATTTTAGATGAATTTTTTTTATTAGAAATGATAGTTTAATGGTAGGAGTTGTTAGTGATGTTTAAATATAAATTAGAATGGATGTCAGTGATATTTTTGATAATAAAGAGATGTCTTTGAAAATATAATAAATTAGGAAAAGAGTGGCTAAAATTTTTTGAAAAAATAATGCGACGTGGTCCGGGGATTGCGGAGAACGTGTGGTCATGCACAGTGGAAATAAATTTTTTTTTTTTTTCTTTNGGTGTCAGTGATATTTTTGATAATAAAGAGATGTTTTTGAAAATATAATAAATTAGGAAAAGAGTGGCTAAAATTTTTTGAAAAATTAATGCGACGTGGTCCGGGGATTGCGGAGAACGTGTGGTCATGTACAGTGGAAATAAATTTTTTTTTTTTTTCTTTCTATCCACTTTTCCTTTAGGCTTTATTGCTTTGTGAGAGATTGATGGAAAGTGGGAAAAAAAAATTCTAACTTTTTCACTATTTGTTTAACATGATAATGGTAGAAATTAAATTCACATGCTTACAAATTTTTTTAGTAACATACAGTTTTTGTTTCCTGCAAATTGTATAGAAAAATAATTTTTTTTTCTCGAAAAAGTTGAGCACACATATCTAATTTTTCATTTTACCCATGTTTCTTCTCACATTGGTCATTATTTATTGGATATAAATCTCTTTAATATAAATAAATATTAATATTAATATTTTTTTTTTCTTTAACTTTACTTTCTATCATTATTTTTTTGTTAATCAAACAGACCTTTAATGCCAAATAATAAAAAATAAATCTAATGCATCATACCAAACAAAAAGGAGAGAAATAGTATTTCTTTCCACCGAGTATGAAAAGTGCATCCCTCTTAATTTTTGTCCTTTTTTTTTTTTTTTTCCTCCTACCAAACCAAACGTACATTACAGAGAGTTGTCCAAAGTCTAGACCACTACAATCGGTGGTTTTGGGGTAAGGGGGTTCAGTGTAGCTTGGTGTGGCTTGGGTTGTTTTCAGTATGCTGTAAACTTTGTTCTTCACCAACATAAATTTAGACTTTTCAAAGCTTACTCGAGACAATTGATCTTGCAAGTCATTAATATAATAATAAATCGACACTCTTGCTAAACCTTTGCACCGTAAAGCAGGCTTGACAATCTAATAAAAAAAAAAATCAACTGAAACACGAGCGTCACGACTCAAACCCAGTCAACATGCCTTGATAATTCATAAAAATCAATCAACTAAAAATGGGTATGACGACTCAAGTCAAATCCTATCATCAACACTAGTTAAACCAAAATTTGATTATCGTGAATAAGCGACTTATCAATCACTTGATTAGGCAATAATCAGTTTTGTGAGTAGAAAAGAAGCTGAAAATATGATAGATGTTAAATGTGCGTAGAAGTCAGGTTTTATCAGACTGCAGACTGCTGAAAAAAATGAAAAAATATATTCAATCTCACTTTAACTTTGTAAATTGGGTATGAATAATTTAATGGAACAATAAAGTCAAATGTCATGAGTTTCTAATTCAGATGTAACCCAGACAAACAAGTCCCAATCATCCTCCTCACTTTAAGACACTAGTCATCGATCTCATTCCTCTTCAGTATAGACAAACTTTTGATAAATTGATATGGAAAATAAAGAAACATTCTTATCCAGAGTTCAGAAGAACAAACAGAAAACCACAACTAGCTAGCTAGGTCAAAGTTAACTTCCTACATTAGGATCTGATTTCATTATCAAGGTAAGCCTCAATAGGGTTTGTGTTGGGTACGTGTGTGTGCCTTTGAGTGCGCATGTGTTGGCGTGTGGGTATGTATGTGTTTAAGAGTGTGAAAGACAGATCTAACTTTTGACAAAAATTTTAAAGTATCAGGTATATTAACAAAAATTTTCAACCCTGAGCTAACTTTTGACAGTTCCTCCTTATTTTTCAAGCCTCACAGTTGCTCCAGTGAAATTTTTAAAAAATTTCAGACCTAAGTGTAATTTTAAAATTTTCAAAATTTTTTTAAACTTACCCAGTGAAATTTTCTTAAAGTATAAGGTATATTAATTTAACTTTAAATTCTTAAAAACTAACTTTTGGCAGTTTCTTTTCACGCCTACTTTTTTTTTTCCATAAGCCTTCGTCTAGATTTTCAGTCCAATCCAGGCGTCCAGCCGACAACCCCTCTTCTTTCTTTTATTTAGTTTCTTTGTTAGTTTCTTCTGTGTATTCATCAATAAATCAGTCTATTAGATTCAATCATTGTGCAAATCAAACTTTAAGAAACCCTAAAAGATTATATTGAAGCTAAGAAAAGGTGATCCATTAACTATATTTTTTATCGATGAAGGAAGTTTATATTTCATCTCCTTTCATTATCTCTTTCTCTCTCTTTCCCTCTCCCACCAATTCACCATTTAACTAGTTAGGAAGGTATGTAGACAAAGAATTATAGAAGTTTAGAGGTGATAGAAAGTATTTTTTCAAAAAAAATTAAAACTAGCTAGGAGTTTGTGCGTGCAAGATCCTGCACAATATAAAAAACGAGAACAGATCTCTCCCTTGGTGAACTTCGAGTGAGCCAGTTGAGTGACCAACCACGCTGCTTGGAACAGCCTGCGAGGTCCGGTGGTAACCTGGAACGGCAACGGGAGACCCTGGGGGAGCGGAAGAACGATCCAGTAAGGTTGGACGAGATTCCTGGAACAAAGAAGAACAAGTTAGAAGGGCGCCGGAGTGTTTTCCGGCGTATTCCCTCCGACGATCTAGTCAGTCTTTGAGAAAGAGAGAGGAAGGAGAAAACACTGAGTATGTATTGTAGTAAAGAGTTTTTTGTTGCATACCCGTCTTGCCTTTTACAAGGAGTATTTATACCTCAAAAGCTCATGATTGCTGTCAGTGTAGTCAGTAGGTGATCATTAGGTACAGGCAGTGTGCGCACTGATTCTGATGAGGAATGTCTTCTCTTCTTAACTGCTCGGGGTCCCGAGCAATCAATGCTGGGTCATCGGGATGTCGACGGTACAATGTATTCCTCTCGGGGAGGATGCAATAAATGCTCTGTATTAGGGGCATTTATTGTCTTTCATTTCCGAGCCTTACTGCATTGAATGCGGTCTCATCAAGGGAATGGTGTAATTAATCTTTTGCTTTCCCAAGTCGCGTGTCAGCAACGGCATGCGGTTTCTCTGTTTTCGATGTGATATCATACGCCACGCGTCCATCCCCTATTGACTGTGACCCCTGTATTCCAGTACGTTCTGACACTAATTGTGTAAGACGAGGTCATGATGAATAGCCTAGACTAGCCTAGGCTAATGACCTGTACGTCAATAGCTTATCCTGGAGTAGAGGAAGCGTCCAGGACGGGGTACCTCTCGGCACCGAGGAAAGGCTCNTCTGACACTAATTGTGTAAGACGAGGTCATGATGAATAGCCTAGACTAGCCTAGGCTAATGACCTGTACGTCAATAGCTTATCCTGGAGTAGAGGAGGCGTCCAGGACGGGGTACACCTCGGCACCGAGGAAAGGCTCATCTCGGAACCGAGGGAGGGATATCGACCGAGGTACCATATCAAACCGAGGCCACGTGTTGGTTGTAAAACGTACTGAATGCCATGATCCTATATGACGAGTACCTCGGGGGCGAGGACCTTTATGCGCCGATGGTATTTGATCTTATCAACAGTGTTTTAGTAATACCGAGAACACGTGTCTTTATCATGGAGTATTTCAGAAAAGTCTCATCAGAGTTATTAGTTGGAGCGGTTATATCTCATGCATAGTACAATCTCTATATTCTATGGTGGCGTGTCTACAAATTTGAAGTGACCTCAAAAACCTCATTTCACGTTTTTTTATTATTTTTTTAAATTTTTTTGTGGGCCATTCATGAACTTGGCCACTCTTGGTTCATAATGAATAAAATTCACCGTGCATGGGATACTATTAGTGGTAGATAATAAAAAAGTTGATACGAATTGCAAAAGTAAAAAGGCAAAGTAACCAAAGTATTGATGTGGATGTTGCAAGTAGGGTATAGCTTGGGCAGGTTAGACAAATTGAGATGTCGATTTGAGCTCAATTTTTGTATTAAAATCTCTTAGTCGAGTCAATCTGATTTTCGGCTATTCAACCTGAATTATTCGAATCGAATATTACTCATGTTTAAATCTCTAAAATAGAGTTGAACCCGAAATTCACTATTTCAACTTTATTGAAACTTGGGTCAAAAACTCGCCTTTAATTTACGTGAAACTCTTGGATTTCTCAACGGTCTTGTTCAAGACTTGTGGGTTTTTGGTGATCCGTGATAAACACGTGTTGCATGAGTTGGTTATATGCTTCGTCCTGAACCTCATGCTGAATGTTGAGAAAGCCCCCACGCGTCTGTACTAAGCTTGACCGAAGTATAAGTGCGAACATGCGACA